GTTTAGATAATATAGTAGCAGCAATTCATTATGAATGGAGAACTCAAGTAATGTCTTCGATTGGGAGTCTTTTTTTTTTTTTTCATTTTTTTACCTTACGAAAAGTAAGGAAAATCATTGATAGAAAATGTATAACCATAAAAATCAAAGGGTAAAAGTATTGAAAAGATGAACGAGAGTTGAATCAAGTGGCAAGCGGTTTGTTCCAGCTTAATTAAGGTCTCGAGTTCGAGACCTTATGTATGCAGCAGCTTTCGTTAGGAGACTCACCCACCATTCTGGTGCGCCACAGCTGGTCAAGTCCGAAGTAGTCGGGGTGAAGCCCCGGATACCGGGCGGGAAACCAAAAAAAAGTATTGAAAAGAATGTCAAACGAAACTTTAATAAAATGGATTTTTAAAATTTTAAATTGAATTGTAATTAAATAAAACAACCTTGAAACTCTAATTTTTTAAGAGTCGAAATTGATATATATCATTTTCTATCAAACTATAAAATACATACATCAATTAAAATTAATTAATCTAAACCTAGTAAATTAACACTTTTAATTTAATTTAATGAAATGTTATGCAAAAAAAAGTGCTATGAAACTGCAATTCCAAACACAACCATAGTCTCTATGAAGCTAAACTTCTAACGCTGGTAATAAATGATTTCTCCATGACATATACTCCTTTTGTTTAACAATACTAGACTTAATTTGACTTTTTAATTTTTAAGATAAAAAGTTTAGTTGAAAATTTAAGACAACAAATGAATGCCAATTAAAATTTTTCTTTTTCCTATATATGGTTCTTGTTTAGTATTTTCATGTGATAAAAAAAATTTTCAATTATGATTTATATACTAGGTTAAATTTCACTTAAACCTTTTTGTCTTAAAAATCAAAAAATCACATTAAGCAAGAATAGAGAGCGGCACCTGTGGGTGAGGGAGGACGGAAAGAAGGGTTTTGATTACTTTTTTTTTGGTACATAGGGTTTTGATTACTTTATTGAAGGGTTTTGTGCCTTCTCTTGTTTAGTATGATTTAAATGCTTGATTTAATGATCAGGTTCTGATGTTTTCTTTAATACTACTAGTAGTAACTGCAACACACTTATTCCAATGCTAATTAATGTCTTGATCTATTTGAAAAGGAATCCAGATCTCTCTTTCAACGT